TATGTTCTCCATTAAGACCCAAATTGAACGTTGTATGGGCAACCAATCCTCACTCCTCAGACAAGAACAAAGGGGTAAGGGTACAACCATGTGGGTGGGTTCATCATTCCAGATGGCATGGTGAAATCTCTCCAAAAGATTTCGACCAAGGCATCCACCACCATCAAAAGCATACCAATTCTATAAAATTTCTAGTACAATATGATTTTAAAAATACCTGCAAGAATAATTCAAGGATGAATTGGGTGTTTGGCGAAAGGGAAGAGACTACAAAACAGTTCGAGAAACCTCGAAACAAAGACTGATAAGCTGAGGAACCCACTGCTTATTGCCAAGGACAGGATAAATCTTAACATGTATATAAATCAAATTTCAGTTACAAATCTAGCAGAGAAAAATTAGATGTTCAGTTTCATAATTGGACTGCAAAAACAATGGTTCTAAAACATATTTTTTCTCACAAATTCCCACTGTAAAAGTTTCATTTTAAAAAAATTCGACCAAAAAAGGCTATTAAATTTTTGAACAAATATTTACTCAATACGAGAAAGGACATCTTTCCCAAAATTCAACAGTCCCAATCGAATACACAGTAAACATTCAAATAAATAAAAGTTGTGCAGGTTAAAGAATAAAAACTATCAGAACTTGAAAAGCATTCCGAAAATAACTGTTTGAGTCGACTCAAAACTCCCTTTCTCTCAGAAGATTCCTCGGCACTCTCATACAGTCTCGAATCCACCAAAAACTAAAAGAAAGAAAAAATAAGACACCCCAAGAAAATCACAAACGAACCAAGAAATTTCAATTTTCAATTATAAAACTATTACATCAAAATTCAAGAGACCAACCTTATCCAATTCTTTGCTTCTCTGAATATCGGTCTCAGTTGACCCCGCAATCGACACAGGTTTCATCGCCCCCCACTGCTTCGGTGACTGCTTCTGGTTCGGCAACAGTGGAGGTAAGTGAACGGCCTGGCTGAAGGCTTAGGTTAAAAAAAAAAATGGGCCATTAAACAAATGGGCCTTAAAAGATCTGGGCCTGAGGCGGAGGCCTCTTGGGCCTCTCCTCAGGTCAGCTCTGTGCTGCACGGAGCTGTCGAAACTCTCCGTGCTGAACGGAGAGGGATCGATCCACCAAGAATCTCAAAAATCCAATCCTGTAATTGTTGGTGTGCCAATATACTCATCAGTTGTCGAGCCTGCTGCATCCACCCACACCCAACACCTCACCAATACACAACACCACTACACAACCACCAACCACACTGCATCGCAATCGCAAAACCACCACCGCACCATCTGAACCCATCGTCATCTGAGCTCGCCGGATCTAACCAGAGCCACCGCTGCTATGCGTGATGCCGGAGATGACGCTACTCTTGGAGCTTCGAAATTGAACATGGGGATGACGCCGTCGAACTCAGATCGTGCTGCGATCGACGACTTCAGATCAACGCCGCTCTCAAATCGGTGGGCGACGGATTGTGGTGGGTACGGTGGCGGCGTAGCGACTGTGTGCAGCAGCGGCAGTAGAGATTTTGGACGGGGAGGGGAAGAGAGCGGCGAGATGAGGATGGAGAGAGAATAGGTTGGGAAATATTTAGGGTTTTGGGGAGGATATCGGATTTACGTGCAATACACGTGTTATCAGCGTAATTGACTACTTAATAACGTGATTGTAAAAGAAAAAAATCAAAATAATTCACTTCA